GAGGCTCCGCGCGCCGCACCGCGACGCGGGCAGAACTCGTTCGATCCGCCTACTAACGATCGTAATAGTCCTATAATTAGATCGAACGGATACACCCGCGTGATGGCGTAGCCGAGCATCCGCTCCTTCCAGGAAGCGTCTAATGAAGATGGAGATACGTTTTCTTCACGCTGCCACCCAAGTTCTGTCTGTGGAATGGCTTGTCATGAGATAATATCGAGGTGTTAAACTGTACATTAGAGGATGCTAGCCTTCAATTTTGCCATTTTATAGATGTTTGGAAAAAATTACCAGATGATGAAATATACATTTAGCTTCAAGGTCCTGGCAAATTGAGATCACTAACTTTCTAGCAGGGAAGTAATGTTTATTTTCAAGAGATCCCGTTTGCCTTCATGACTTCAATGCAATACAAACATATATTTTATTACGAAGGATCGTGAATATGAAAATACGACTGCCAAATCAACTGACTCAGCAGATGCATCCGTACATATGAACACCAAACATTTATTGCCATAATGAAAGTAGTTGACTCCAAGGAGAAATATGAAACATTTTTAATTTGTGGAAAACACAACACCATTCTCCATGTATTTCAGTCTTTGTGTGTTGTATGCGGAGTGTTTGACCACATGGGGAGTGTTTTAAGTTCGATGAAGAAAGCACTTCGAGAGACTTTTGGAACCCCAACTCTATAATATACTGAAAGTAGATGTAGACATTCAAATCAAAATAACATTTGACTAAGTCGCTGAAGTCGTAGGCGGCATACCTTAGCCTAAAAAAGTGGCACATTGATTGGATCGGCATGTCTCAATTAAAGACAGAAAAATAAAATATTTGTACAAGATATGTTTTCTAGAGATCAGCCTTCAACATTTATGGAAATCAAAAGATTTCTGAACTTTTTCAACCACGAGCGTGCACATCACGAAGCAACTCGTCGAGGCCAGGTGCCGGTGCAATGTCACAGCGAGCCCCACTGACAACAGCGGCCGCACGCGCCGATGCAAGCGAACGCCAGCCAGTGCGACGTGACGCGGATAATTATAGATGGCTTGCCGTTGTAATTTAAACTGACATATGAATATTAATAAATTATAATTTTTGTAGAGTAAATTAAATATATTTCCCAATCCATTGCACAAATAGCAACACCATGTTTCGGAATTAAGCCGGCTCAAATGTAATTGAAAATAATGAGCTGCGTTACAAGTTACACGAGATTCCATCACTAGTTTGCCAGTTTTAATTATTTTCCATCGCGTGTTGTGTTTTTCCCGACCCGGACGCGCGCGCAAAAAGAGCATCACGACGCGCAGTCCCCTCTCCCCCGGCCCCGCGCGGCGTCGATCGAAAAATGATATTTTGTTTTTAGGAATGATTTTGTTATTCATTTGTCATTTCAACAGGTCGGATAATGCGGCCGATAGGCGGCGTTTGTTTGGCGACCTCCGGGCGGGCGCGCGGCGGCTACACGCGCGCTTGACAAATGGACACGCGCGCGGAAAAACGGAAAGTTATTCCGATATTCATTCATCACGGGCCGTCGAACGGCCGTTTGTTTCGCTGACAAACGCACGCGATACTCTCTCGGCGAGCACGGCCATCCACGCTTGCGGCGCGCTTGCGGCGGCGGCGGGCGACCGGGCGGTGGGCGGTCGGGCCAACGCCCGAGCTGCCCTCTGGGGTAATTGCGGGGTCGTCGGGCCTAGGGGTACTAAATTACCAGCACG